TTATACATGGTGAGTTATAACAAATGATTTATATGCTTGGCTGCTACAAATAGTATTATCCTCAAAACAATACGATCTGAAATCTTTTATATATGTTAAATTTTTGTTGAAAAACAAATATTAATATTGACGATGTACAACATGTAAAGCTTTCTCATGATAAATAATTGTAGATTGACATGCTTATGATTTGAACTATCCTAAACTCAAGTTGGTCAGCAACCTCCTCAACCACTAGATTTTCATAATATTGAAGGTAGTGCTAGACAGACCACAAAATTAAAGACAACAAATATAATGGGGCGTTGACTTGGCAATGATGATTAAGTAAATATGACGGTGCTAACTAAGTAGTACTTCAATTTGGCACTTGCTATTAATATCAAAATTTTGTATTAAAGCTTGTTTTAGGTTTTGGTCGAGAAATCATTTTGTATATCGGAAGGGTGATCTCGTAGTTCTTGGTCTGTGAAGATGCGTTGTTAAGTGCTCCACTTGATTTTTCCATTGAGGCTGAACCTAAAATTGTGATAGAGAAATAGTTGTCCATACATTGATAAGGGATGTATGGATTCTTGAGAAGAGAGGAACCGTGGTGGTTCCCTCCGGACCGCCCAAATCCCACAAGTGAATCGAAAGTTGGATTTACATTGGATTTCACTTGGATCATCCCATCTATCCTCATGAGGAGAAGTTTGGTTTCAAACCCTGGTTCAAACAGAAGGAGTATGCCATGCTAATGTGTCTTAGATGATCCACATCTTAGTAAATTTTACTTAATCAACATCGCCACAGAAATGCCACAACATTTGGTCCTTGATTTTTTCTTTCCTTAGAGCATTACCCAATATAAAATCTGGAAGGGTTGAGTTTGAAATTATATGATAATTTTCCACAATGTCAAAATAAAATTGCACGACAATATAAATTTTGCGCATTGCACATATCTGAAACTAGTAAATTTTATCCTTAAATTTTCATATAAATTTTATTTGGTTAATATTTTCACCTAATATTTTTCTTTGGCCCCCCATTTTGAATTTTTTTGATTTCATTAATGCATAAAAATCTATAAAATAAAACAGAGTAAACTTTAATAAGTTTATCACAGGGTCTCAAATAAACTCATCCAACGGCCACCGATAATATTCCTCTAAAAAATCTATAATTAAAGCAAATTAAAGTAAATTTTTTTTCTAAATTTACTAATTAGTTTATGTTGCACCGTACGTTCAAACATATTTTACCTCTAATATTTTATTTATGTGTATATATGTATGAATGAAGTTATATTTGCACACATACAATAATACACTATCAATATGCATACGTAAATGTACAAAAAAATGTACCTTGGGGCAAAAATTAAATCCGCATCCATAATCTATCCTATCAACCTCATATATGGTCGCCTGAAGTGTCCCGTGGAGCAAGCGTGGAGCCATGGTTATACCTCAATACTTTCAAATTTGTTGAAAGGAAATAAGCAGAAAAAGATGATCAGGAAACAAACGTATATTGAGGTGAGAGAGTAATCCAATGATAAGTGCTCACTTCTACTTTGCCTACATGCGATTGCGGGTTCTAAACTATATCACACAGAGCGGGAACAGGAGTAGGAGCGCAAAAGCGTCAACATTTAAAAAAAATTGAGAGCAGAATGTCTTGAGAGCTTCATATTATATGTACAGAGTCACACATTCACTGATAACAGTTTAATAAAATCAAATATATAAAATTAAAATTTCATGCATAACTATGATACAAACTATTTAATTTTTAAATATATATTAATTATAAAGTCCTAAAATGACAATTATAATTTCCAAACATTATTCTAGTTTGATATGTATATTTAAGTTGTGTTTGTGCTTCTCAAATAAAAATTTGTAAAAGTGCTAATTAGTCAAATTCGTGAATTTTGGAAAATGAGAATGAGAATTCACAGAGAATTCCCTTCCTTAGCACTAGAACGTTAAGAGTTTAGAAGAGTTATGTAACTAAGGTTCCAACATCATTCTCGTCTCTCTTCTCAGGAATTTGAAAACAGAAAAAAGAAAAAGAAACAAACATATCGAATGACATGTTGCATATATATATATGTGTGTGTGTGTGTGTGTGTGTTTCTTTGTGTTTGTGCATCCGTGTGTGCATATTTGGAAGATTTTATGATATTTGAAAAATAAAAACAGAAAAAGAACCTTGAAATGGGAAGGCGGTGGCTTGAAATTGCAGAAATTTTTTGCTGCAGCGGAGTCTCAGCGGTATTTATTTACAACCCAAAGGATCTAATCTAGAGGTTGTCATTGAAGAAAGAGATAGCTTTTGTTCATAGCTTTCCACTTCCTTTATACAAACTTATCATATCATAATAATATAGGTGTGACTCATCTCATGGTCAGGTCATGTCCAATTCATAAATGGTGTCAAATTTTGTTTAATTCAAAATGATATTATTTATAATTGTGTGGATGTCTATCGAGTCTGATTTATGTTTAACAAGTTTGTGTCGAGTTTAATGAGTTTACCAGTACACCTACACTTTAATTCTCTTATTAAAACACTTTAATTTTGAATTAATTTTGGATGACAGCGTGTCCAAAGTGGTTGGGTCATGTATATGTATTTAAACGACACTCATATTACACCCATATCCCTGTGTGTGTGAGTGTGTGAGTGTGTGTGTGTGTGTGTGTGAGAGAGAGAGAGAGAGAGAGAGAGAGAGAGAATCTGTTCCAATCTTTACTTGGAAAATTAGCAATATATCTAAGAGTTATGACAGATGAAGGAAGGCAGGTTTAGTTGAACGGGCAAAGCAAACTACCCAATGAAGTGATATTGTGGGTTTAGTTTGGGCCTTAGATTTGGGTCCAAATTCTTGACAATGAATGAACACAATTAACCACAACTGGGTCGATTTAGTGGCGGTGGCAAACAGGAGCTAGAGGGCCGGGCCAACCCTGAATGTTTTTTTTCTATGTGTGTTTTGTTTATTTTTTTAATATCTTTAATTGTGTCAACCTTAACAACTTTAAATAAAAAATTAGGTTCATCGGAAGAACAAACCTCTTGGATAATGAACTGGAATAAAAATAGAATAAGCTATAGAATCTCTTGAAGTCAACAATTAAAAAAATAAAAAAAGAAAGAAATTAGATAGAAAAAAAGTCTGACCCACTCCATTTTCAAATTCTCCGTAAAAGCACTAAAACAAGCAAAAAATAAAAATATATCAAATTATTTTTTCCTATTAGAAGACAAATTAAAAATTATAGTTAGAATGTGTTCACCATAAAATATATTTTTAACTTTGCCACTGGTTGATTCTTATGGCATTTTTCGGCGCTAAAGTTCGAACTCGGGTTTGGTAAAATTAAGCTCGATTTGTTTTCACTAGAATATGAAAATTGATTATATATATAAAAAAAACACCATTCTTAAATTAAGCATCTGAAATCAAATTCGAAGAAACACCTTGACTAACTTGATCAGTTATATTTTTATAATGTCTTTATGGGTTTGGGAACGTCATTTATGTATATATATATATATATATAAAGGGCACTGTAAACTTTTTCATGGAGTAGTAAAATAGTATCCACCTATCATTTTTCGGTACTATACAAATGAGTGAGTGAATTGTAAAGATGATGGAGTTGTGGGAACGCCATGTCCTAAACATGATATAAGTAGACTAACCATATCATTTTCCAAGCAAATGTAAGGGTATTACAATTTTATTTTTTGGTACTAGAGTGGGAAGTGAAAAAACTTAAAAAATTACTAGTTTTTTTCTATTAAAAAAAGTGATAAAATTCACCCAAAATTATAATAAATGAGTCTAAAAAATGGTACGTGAATCGGATAAAAAAATAATAAACAGTATCAAATTTTTTTTGGTGGCGCTATGTCCCCTCCTGATCCGGATGGGAATTTGGGCTATTTTCATAGAATGAGATCATTTTTAGTACACTTTTTCTTCAATTTTTTTTAATACATTATACATCATGCATTCAAATAGAATCCATTGTATACAAATGAGTCCCTCACTCATTAATGTCTTCATGAACAAATGAACCCAATAAAACACCATTCACAGAGCAGCTGTCTCATTTTGGATTTCAATGGTGTTATTTTTGACTTTGAAACTCATTCAAATCTATATAATAAAGTACTTTGCAATTCAAATTTCAAAAAATAAACAAAACGACTTTTACTTTTCGCGGTTCATATCATTTTAAATTTTACTTTAAAGTTAATATAACGGTTAATATTAACACCCTAACTTTAATAGAAAAAATAAGTCCCTAAGAATGTGTTTGAAGTGATTTTTTAAAAGTACTTTTACGAATTACTTTCATATGCACTTTTAAAAAAAATTGTATTTGAAACCGTCCTACCACTGTCACCGCCACCTCCACCACCACTGTCGTCGCCACCACCATCATTGTCGTTGTCGTTGCTGTCGCCATCACCGCCATCACCATCGTCGTCGCTGCCACCACCATCGATGGTTAAATTCATTGCCTCCCACCACAACCATCACCGTCTCCTACAACCACCATTACCGCTCACGACCTCTTACCCTCACTACAACCGATGTTTAAATTCATTTATTTCTCCTCTATGTTTGTGATTTAATTTTGGATATGAATACAACTATATTTATTGTTTACTATTTTTTATTACTCTGTGGCTTCCGGCACAGGCAATAACTAGTACTCCCATATTCATGCACCAGTTGTCACAAATTGAAAATAGAATTACAACTTAATGCTAAAGATATTCAAGCCAAAAAATGCAAGCATAAGTACAACATTTTCAACATTATGTTGCAACAATACAGATACATAGTTTATAGCATGAATAGGCAAAACACTACAAGCATACAGAGGCAAGGGTATTAATAGAACATGGCAGAGTGGCCTTGAGGCCAGAAAGTTCAAAAGCAACCATAACGTCGTGTCCAGAAAAGTTTGAAGCAACGATAGAAGAAAACTTCAAACAACTTTGATTATCCGTCTCCGTCTTATCAGATCAGCAACATACCTCGCAAAAGCATTGATTGGCTTAGTGAGGTCAGCATTTCCATCTCCGCCACACCTAATTTTGATCCGAGCAAGGTAATCAACTGCTATCCAAGCAAAGCTCAACATTACTGTCTCCACATCCCCGGCCCGGCCCAACTATAGAAGCAAAAAAGCTTGGGCTTTAGGCCCAATAATTTTAGGAAGGCACCTTAATTTTAGGTAAATAGTTGGCCCACTTTATAATTTTAAGTCCATGAAAAATTATAAGTTATACAAAAAAATCTTAGTTAAAATTTAAGGTCAATCAAAAATTTTAATTTTAATAATTTTTTGAACCCATGATTCATCCCATAATAATAAAAACCAAAAAAATCAAAATTTTATTAAAAAAAATTGATGATATACTCAAAAGTCATGTCATAATTTACATATCTTTTATTAACCACATCTCCTCTCTCTCTCTCTCTCTCTCTCTCTCTCTCTCTCTCTGTAAAGCCCCTCTCTCTCATTTTTATTCTCACTCTTCATATCAATTTCAAATAATTTTTTTTAATTATTAATTTAACTTAAAAAATAAAATTATTAAATGTTAATAGTTTTAAAAAAATTATCTTGATTTCGGATGTTTCTTAATACATAACAATTTTTTTAACATTGATCATTTAGATTTATTTTAAAAATAAAATATTTTAAAGCAAATTTTATAAATGAAAGAAAATACTTCAATTGAGACATCAATTTATATAAAAACATTAGATTTTTTTCTTCAAATGTATGCATTTCTTATAGAATATTTTTATTAATTTTTGTAATAGTTATTTCTACAAAAAGAAGTTTCTCAAAATTAAAATCGATAAAATCTTATTTAAAATTGACTATCACAAGAAAAATAATTAGATTAGCGATATTATCAATGAAAAAAAAATATGATAATAAAATTTAAATATAAAAACTCAATTTATACTTTTACAACTCAAAAAATGAAAAAAATTAATTGTAATCAAAATTTTTAACACTAAAAAGGCTTCAAAATAAATTATCGTTTTAGCCCTCAAATTGCCTTGAGCCGTTCTGCCATATCCCCATCTGGCTACTTCTTCCCCCAACAAGGATGATAAGTGACTTGATACCATGCAGATGCCTTTTGTTCATAAATGGCATGCTTCTCGTCATTAGAAAGTTGATCGAAATCTGAGTCCATTTTCTCAAAAACTTTCCTGAGGGCACTGTAAGCATGTTTGAGTCTCTCTTTCAGCTGCCCTTGCTTGTTGCTACTATACTATGGCAGGGACCAAATGTGCCCAGTCACAATCTCTTCCTCTCTGCGCACTTTATACAGTCCCACAAGTCCATTTAGCTGCCCACCATAGGAGCACTTATGGCTCCACGCATCGGTAATGAAATTTGTGGATCCGGGGAAATGAAGGTCTGCATCATAAAGAATGTCTTGAGGAACAAATTTTAGCTCTACCACTTCTTTGTCATTAGCATCTATGACTTGGCGGTATAGCTTGCCCAAAATTTTTTCTGACTTGTACGACTGAAATTCCTCTTTCTCCATAAAGTAGGGATACATTTTCGGTTTGAGTTCAAATGGCATGGTGACAATCTTTCCAGTTTTGGGGAAATCAACTGCTGTGGCAACAAGCTCTGCCAATTTGATGCACTTCTCATCCAATGCTCCATATTCACTGAGGTCAGCGTGAACCACATGAACATTGCAGATCGTACCCAGATTCTCATTAACCATGTGTTTAGTGAAAAATTTTCTTATGTCCTGTAAATTAAAAAAATAACATTCGCATCTTATCAGAAAAAAACAAACGTACAACATGCCATTGGTAAGTTCCCGATATCCAAACTCATCGCCCAAACTCTATAAGGTTTCTTTGCTATCTTTATGGTGGTGACCTTAGATTGAAATCTCTCCGGTAAATATCTCAATATCTTCTAAAGCTAGACCATATCATTATACTTCTTTCGTACGGGGAAAGATGAATTTACTATGTCACCAAGTCGTGCATAGAATTTAGTGAAGGTCTCACTTTGCTTCATCCTAAGTGCCTCAAATTGAGAAATCAACCTTCGACGTTTGGACTTCTTTGCAACACTTGTTCCCTCATGGAAAGCCTCTAAAAAGGCGTCTATATAGGGTGAATTCTCCTTCGTATGCGTCTATTTCCGATTCCCCGAGCTCAACCAATATCTGCCATCGCCTATAATAAATTGGGAAAAACAATAAGTAGAAATGGCAACATTAGAACTAGTGAATAAAATAGAAACAGAGTAGAAAGGAGGGCCTGGTCAGCAAAATCCTCTCTAATTCAAGAGAACAATACTATGGAACTCCACAGAATTTCTGAGGAGTTGGATGCACGGAGGAGAGAAAGCAATGAAACTGATCCCATAGACATCTACCATAAGGCTGATGCTTTAATTTGAGTGGGAATGAATGGGAACGAAGGAACAAAAGTCTTCTCATAATCGATACCAAAAGTGAGTTTGAATTTTCCTCAATAATGGTCTTTCCGTCAAGAAGAGGTTTGCAACCGCTCTATATCTAATAAGGTAATAAACGCATCTTCTGCAAGACTGGCAATTCCTCAGACATGGCCTGATGCCATTGAGGGATCCTTACTGCCTCACTCTCATTTTGCGGCTTCAAAGAAGAATGAACAATGGCAAGCACTATGTTGGGTCAGACACAAACTATATGGGTGTCACAAATAAGACTTTTCACCTCATACTTCTTTGGAAGTCTCACACGTACAGATTCTCTGGAACTCATTTGGAGACATGACATTGAATATCACATTCGATCATTTCGAGTTCTAACCACTCACCCCAATCATCCTTGTCTATTTGTTAACAAGGTTTTGCAATCTCGCCTACCTCAGTGGTCTCGGTAGGAGGTTTCCATCCCCATTGGGTGTTCAACACTCATACTCATGGATGAACTTAAAGAATGCTCTCATTCTAGCCTTTCAATAGACATAGTTGGTTCCATCAAACAAAAGAGGTCTTGATATTGAGCCACCTTCTCATTGGGTATCCATCAATAACAAACTCATTGTTATGAAGAACCTCAAGCAAACACAAACTAGGTCAAAACTCTCAGAAATACATACAAAGTGCTTCTCGGGGTACTGATGGTTTGATACTAATTGAGAGTGCGAGTTGGATCGCCCCAAAACGCTTGTGGAGTCTACCTAGGTAGACCTAGAGTAGGGTTAATAGGTCTTAAGCACTCCTTTTTGTAGAAATTACGCCTAATTAATAACCTAATTCATTCATTTGTCAATTAATTGATCGATTCATGCTTACACCCCTCAATCTGACACACAAACCCATTAGATAAACAAATGTATGTAAAATAGTCAAATTCAACAATCAATTAAAATGAATAATTCACTAGCTTTATCTCTCATAATTCACCAACTTTATCTTAACAAAGCCCTTCCACAAATTCAACTGACTACAAGATCACCAAATAATGAATGAACAATTCAAGTATTAGCTCTTTGTTGATGACATTCCGGATACGATACTTGTCGGATTCTCGATGATCCATATCAGATAACATGACACAAACCCAAATATTCACACAAACAAATGGTTCCAATTTGAGTTCAGTAAATTTTGGCATGAAATGTTGTGATACGACACTTCAAACAAATCCATTACTCTGATCAAATCTAATTTCAGAGTTTTAATCCATCTATCTATCAATAGAATCTCCAGATGCCAAATCATCTCTTCATGCATAATCATTTGAGAGCATTAAGATGGGTTGGGTCTCATAGAAATGTGGAAACGTGAATACATAAAATAAACCTCCAAATGCTAACAAGACTGTTCATTACTAGGTAACACAAACAAGTGGTTAATAGTTGCTTATAGAATTACAAACATTAACACCACTACGACAGTAACTAGAACAGTGCCTTAAGTAGTGAGGACTGATGGAAGATCTTCTGACCTGGTGCCAAGGATTTTGGCATTGGTGTCTGGAAAAAATTCAATCCCTGGCAATGTACCAATCATTCCATTGCTAGAGATTTCAACGGGGTAGCGAAGGAGATGGACAAGAAGATTGCCGATGTATGTATCAGTTGAGTAAAACTTCCAATTTTCATCAGCAATTCGATTAACAAACTGGACACAATCCAAACTCTCTGGGTGCACAAAGATGTCGGGCACCATGCTCATATGCTCACCCCATAAGGATAGACGAAAATTGAATATTCTACCCCTGGCTGGTTTTGTAGTTGCTAAATGATGGGGTTGATAGGCTCCCATTGCAATCTCGGAGTCCCTGGCACCATCCATTGATCTTTGGTTGATGTTCGCTGATCCGATGATTATGTATTCATCATCAACTACAAAAGAAAAAACAAAGAAAAAATAGAGCAGAATTTTAAAACTTAGTATTAGATCTTATCAAACTCCATCATGAAGTATTTTGTTTGTCAGAATTTTTTAGTTCTTAATTAACTTAATGGCAGTGTGCACATGCAAACATTTTGAGAGATTTGTATACTTACCTATCATCATATTTGCATGAACATAGATCATGAAGCGACGCGCCTGTTGAGCTCTGCTATAATCAGTATCAGGATCTGGTTTCTCTGGAGGTGTGTATTCTCCCATCTTCTGGCCCTCAAGATTCCCGAGACAGAAAAAAGTCAAGTAGTCCCTAAGGTTTGCAGTGAGTCCCTTAGCACTCAAGGCTTGAGCAATATCTGTGTACATCATCTCCATTGTCCTCTTTTGCCAGTCTAAAATTGCTTGAACAGAACCGCTCTCAGGTATACCCTCTGGCCACATTGGAATTACAATGTAGACAGTGAACCTCTCTCCTGCTTCAATTTTGCTAACAATTTTCAAAGAAAGCTCATTTGGTATGAGATGCAATGCACCAATGTCCTCAACCTTAATATCGTCTGATTTCCAATTGTACGAGCTGCCCACAAAATACTGACTTTCGATGTAAATAAAGTTCTTTGCTCGGCGAATGGCATGGATGTAAGCATCGTGGATGCTTCGATCAATGATGTTATCTTTCCCGTTAACAAGGCCTACTGCAGCAGCAACAACAGGTTTTTCTGGGAAGCCAGAAACTGCCCCACCATCAATTGATCGAAATATTTGAACGTTCCATGTTTCGAGGTCCTGTGATGTTGTAACAGGCGAAGGGCGAATAATGAATTTATCAAGTTCAGTTACAGGAAAAATATACTTATCTCCAACTTGTTTCTTCCACCTTTGCTCAAAATTATACAGGACATCCCAAGCAACTGGTCCTTCTAAGCGGCAATGAATATCATGCCAGGGCTCCCTGGGACCACCTTTTCTGATTGAAGAGCCTAAAAAGTTTGGCTGATAGAAATCATCATGATGAATGGTGTCCAAAGTACTAAAAAGGGGATGATCTAGAGTATCATATCGCCCGTCACAAAGATCAATGCCACCTACAAAACTCACAATCCTCCTCTTCTGTGATCTTCCTCCCGGAATTTCACTGTCCACAATTATCGTCTTCTGATGGTGAGTGAACATGGTGGAAACCTTGAGTCCTTGAAATATGCTCTTTCCATCGTCTGGATTACGTGGACACAACACACAACGAACTTTTGTGTTTTGGAAGTAATCTCTAGTCTCTTTGTCATGTGTAGCCATCAAACCATCCTTCTTTAGTGCCTCCACTGAAGTTCTATCATCCCAAACAAGCATAAGGACATTCACCCCCTTATCTGCCTTATTTTTCAACAGTTCACCAAGTATGATCTCTCCTCCTGGCTTGGGCATCGTTCGATCCCTTACCAAGGAGATTTTAGTGTAAACCGACCATCCAGTTATATAAATCAAATGTTTGGCATTGCTGATTGCATCAAAGATGTCCTCCCAACATCTTCGGGGCTCGTAACGCGGGCCTTCTGAACTAAGAAACATGGGAAATTCATCACCCGGAACATCGGCATCTTGATACAGTGTAATTTTGCAACCTTGTCTTTGCTTGAAGAATGTGTAAGGGACTCCTCCAAATATAGGACTTTTGATTCCTTGAGACCAATTACTATCTTGGTTTATATTGAAAAACTGTAGGTTGATATGCATTCTAGAGCCTCCAGGAATAGGTTTATGATCTTCATCCAATATTTCGAGCCATTTTTCGATTACTTGGCCATTTAAAACTTCCTGAACAGGCAAATAAGCTCGTCCAATTAATGTTGCCCCAACAAGATTATCTTCTTTTATTGTGAATATGATACTAGAAACCATGTGGGCACAGTAAACATGAAAGGACTCATTCCACCGAGGGTTGGAACTTTGATTTTTAATGTTTCTAGTTCGCCCGACCCGTGCCTTCTCTAAATCAATGGTTGCATACAGTCCTAAACCAGCAATCTGCGAACCAACCAACATTTTCAGTATGTTAGAAAAATGAGGTTTTACATGTTGAAACAAAGTAATCCGCAATTTTGTAAATGATGCAAGGTAGAAGAATACCTCAGGCCGACCCAACACCATTCTTTTAACTTGAGATAAAAACATTCTGGTAATCTTTCTTGGACTTGTAATCTCCAAATTTTCAGAGAAAAGGACAGAAAATGCAGGGAGGACATCAAAGATCGACACCCAATAAAATCGAACATATACCCACAAGAGCAATCAAGAAAATAGGAAGGAAACATTAATGTTGGACATTGTTTGAAAATGTTCAAATTTTAGGACTGAGAAAGAGCTAAATGCTGCTACAAATTATCAATTGTAAGGATATTTGTTAGGATTATCACATATTGTACCCTAAAAGTTCTCTCGAATCTTAATTTACACCTTCGAAAATAAAAACTTTCAATTTGTACCCTCAAAATATAAATCTGTATTAATGTGCACCTGAAGCTAACAACAGTTTAGTTTACGATCTAAAACTAAATGGATAAATTACACCTAGTTCCTTTCATGTTTGTCACTTAATCACTTGGACCCCCTCATTTTTGAATTATTACACTTGCACCTCTTGAGATTCCAAATATAACTAAAATTGAGTATCCATACTTCATAGACATATACGTAAGCTGGTTCGGATACCCCTGAATATAATACACCAAAAAAAAAAATCCCAAATTTGGAGCTCCTATTTGGTCTCTCTAAAGGTTTATCCTAATAATTCTGTTTATGTGGAAAACAAGAGTGCATGCTTCTAGTCAAAAGCTCTAGAAGATCGGCATCGCCGACTCAATAAAATCGATTGGGGTTCCTTTCCAAAAATAGTATAATTAAGTCCTTCAATCTTTTTTGTCGCATAGTTGATTTCAAGTAAATTTTTATTTTGAATCGTAAGAAATTTATTTTCGTAGAATCTACTGTTTCAGATATGGTCAATAACAGTAATGTTATGCTGACCAAATTTTGGGACCAAATTTGGAGTCCAAATGATTTGGCAACATATTAATTGGAGTCTTTAATGAGGCCTAAATGACATGGCACCAAATAAAGAAGTCCAAGTCAGCTGCCATGTCATTTGAGTTCTAAATTTGGTCCCAAAATTTGATCAGCATAGCATTACTCAGTCAATAATATACTATAAAAATAGTTCTAATGTTTCAACTATTTAGTTTTATATGTAAAATTTTTTTAAGACTTTTAGTTTTGATAACAAATCTTATTAATCGATATTGAAAAAATAATCATCTTTCAAAAAAATTTCAAATGTTAGAACAATCGTTTTTGAACTCTTACCATCTAATATTTTTGTTTCTCACACTAAATACAAGCAAAATATCTTGTTGAATTGTAAATTATTCAAATTTACCATGATTTACTATTTATAAAGAATAATGATTCAATAAAAAACTCTTTCGGTGATTTTTTTTTCTGAAAGAAACGGTACAGTTTTTTATCGAAGACAACTATTTGAAAGAATGAGAGGCACTAAGATTTCGGGTGCTCTCTCCTCCCATACATTAATATGGTTAACAAAACTTGCATTTCTTGCTAATTTATGTGCGACAGTATTCGCAGATTGATATACAGTAGAAACAATAAAACTATTAAAATCTTGAGATATCATATAAACTTGATAAATAATCTTTAGGTGATTGCGTAACAAATAATTGAAGCAACAGAGAGGGAAAAGATATGCTGGTAAATTTTTTCTCTAATGGCATTACTCAATTACTAGATAAACTAAGACCTGTAATATAGTTGATAGATGTCGAGAAAGAGTTATCCATAGTCCATAATTGTGTATAGTAGCGATGTAATGTGTAAAAGTAGGGATGAAGCATGGATTAGTATAAGACTTAGAAACAAAAAATAGTGCGTAGAATAAAAGATACATATTCACCATAATATTTCTTGTACGAAATTAGAGGACCTAGTGCATTAAATTTGTTGGAGTAATAGCAAACGTCATACAATATTGAGACATAGTTATTGTCTGTACCTGAAGGTACAAAGTAATAAAAAATGGTAAATAATAAACATATTTGTATTTATAGCCAAAATTAAATTACAAACATAGAGAAGAGATAAATGAATTTAAATATCGAATTGTAGTGGGAGTAAGAGGTGGTGGGCGGCAATGGTGGTGGTAGGAGACGGTGTTGGTTGTGATGAGTGGCAATGACCGTGGTGGCAGCGATGGTAGTGGTGGTGGCGGCAACAATGATGGTGGCTGCGGTGGCGGCAGTGGCAATGGTGGTGGTGGCAGCTACGGAGGGTGGTGTTGGTGATGGCGGTGGTGATGGCTGCGGCGGAGGTGACAGCGGCAGCAGTAGTGGCGGTGGTGATGGTGGTAGTGGCAGTGGTAGTGGTGGTGGTGGTAGAGGTAGTGGTGGAGCGGTGTCAAACACTTTTTTTTTTAAATATTTATGAGAAATAATTTTTAAAAGTACTATTAAAAAGTCACTCTAAATACACCCTTAGGGATCTATTTTTCCTATTAAATTTAGAGTGTATTAGCCGTTAGATTAATTTTAAAGTAAAATTTAAAATGATCTTAACCGCGAATAGCTAAAATCATTTTACTTATCTTTTGAGATTTGAATTGTAAACTACTTTATTATATAGATATTGCTAACTCAATTATGGTGGTACATAAAGCTTTGTACTATCTTATTTTTCTCTCCTTTAATTTTGTCTCAACTTGGTAATTTTGAACCCCTAGTTATCTTCCACTACCATATAAAATTAATCAAATTAGGAAGGAGAGGAATTGAAAAACGTTTCCACTCTATTTGCTAACTCTTTCAAAACTATACTTATCTATTTACAAAACATGGCTTCATTCTTATGAATCTTGTCAAAGTCTAGACTGACCACAAAATTAAAGACGATAAAAATAATGGGGCGTTGACATGGCAATGCTAATTAAGTAATATGATAGTGCTAACTAAGCAATACTTCAATTTGGCACTTGCTCTGAATGTCAAAATTTTGGAGCGTTTAAAATTTTGACAAAATAAAATATTGAAGCTTGTTTTAGGTTTTGGTGGAGAAATCATTATATATTTTAGAAGGGTGATCTCATAGTTCTTGGTCTATGAAGATGCATTGTTAGGTGGTCCATTCGATTTTTTTTGTTGAGGTTGAACTTAAACCTGTGTTCGAGAGATAGTTGTCCATACACTAATAAGCGATGTATGGATTCTCAAGAAGAGAAGAGTCGTGGTGGTCCCCTCCAGACCGTCCAGATCCGACGATTGAATCGAAGGTTGGATCTACATTGAATCTCACCTGAATCGCCCTATCTATCCTCATGAGGAAAAGTTTGGTTTCAAATCCCGGTTCAAACATGAGGAGTACATCATGCTAATGTTGCCTTAGATGATCCACATCTCAGTAAATTTTACGTAATCAACCCCGCCACATAAATGCCACAACATTTGGTCTTTGGTTTTTTTCTTTCCTTATAGCGTTACCCAATATAATATCTGGATGGGTTGAGTTCGAAATTATATGATAATTTTCCACAATGTCAAAATAAAATAGTACAAGAATAGAAATATTGTGCATTGCACATAGCTGCAACTAGTAAATTTTATCCATAAATTTTCATATAAATTTTATTTGGTTAATATTTTCACCTAATATTTCTCTTTGGCCCCCCATTTTGAATTTTTTGGTTTCATTAACGCATAAAAATCTATAATATCAAACAGAGTAGACTTCAATAAATTTATCTCACAGTTTTAAATAAACTCATCCAACGGCCACCAATAATATTCCTCTAAAAAATCTATAATTAAAGTAAATTGAAGTAATTTTTTTAAAAAAATTTACTAAATAATTTATGTTGCATCATACGTTCAAGCACGAGTTACCCCTAATATTTTATTTATGTGTATATATGAATGAAAGAAGTTATATTTGCACATACACACATATACATTAATACACTATCAATATACATAGGTAAATGTACGAGAAAATGTACCTTGGGGAAAAAATTAAATCCACGTCCATAATCTATCCTATCAACCTCTTGTATGGTCACCTGAAGCGTACCGTGGAGCAGGTGCGGTGCCATGGTTATACCTCAATACTTTCAAATTTGCTGAAAAGAAACAAACAGGAAAAGATGATTAGGAAACAAACGTATATTGAGGTGAGAGAGTAATCCAATGATAAGTGCTCACTTCCGCTCTGCCTACATGCGATTGTGGGTTTCAAACTATATCACATAGAACGGGAAAAGGAGAAAGAGCACAAAAGCGTCAATATTCAAAAAAATTTGAAAGCAAAGTGCCTTGAGAGCTTCAAATTATATGTATAGAGACACACATTCACTAATAACAATTTAATATAAATCAAATATATAAAATTAAAATTTCATGCATAACTATGACACAAACTATTTCATTTTTAGATATATATTAATTATAAAGTCCTAAAATGACAATTATAATTTCCAAACATTATTTTAGTTTGACATGTATATTTAAATTGTGTCAATGTTTCTCAAATAAAAATTTGTAAGAGCGCTAATTAGTCAAATTCATGAATTTTGTAAAATAAGAACAAGAATTCACATAGAATTTGCTCTCGAAGCACTAGAACGTTAAGAGTTTAGAAAAATTATGCAACTAAGGTTCCAACCTCATTCTCGTCTCTCTTCCTAGGAATTTAGAAAAAGAAAAAAGAAAAAGAAACAAACATATCGAGGGACATGTCGCATGCATATATCCATACCTATATATATATATATGTGTGTGTGGGGGGGGGGGGTTCTTTGTGTTTGTGCATCTGTGTGTGCATATTTGGAAGATTTTATGATATTTAAAAATAAAAACAAAAAAAGAACCTTGAAATGGGAAGGTGGTGGCTTGAATTTACAGAAATGTTTTACTGCAACGGAGTCTTAGCAGTATTTATTTACAACCCAAAGAATCTAATCTTGAGGTTTTCATTAAAGAAACAGATAGCTTTTGTTCATAGCTTTCGACTTCCTTTGTGCAAACTTATCATATCATAATTATATAGGAATGACTTATCTCATGGTCAAGTGATGTCCAATTCATAAATGG